CACCCTACGTCTTCTCCTGCCTCTCCCCACAGCCACACAAGTGGTCCCACTCACTGCATTCAGTGGCTGTCTGCAATTTCTCCTCCCCTGGCAGGGCCACCAACCCCCTCCTGGTCCTGTGATAAAAAGAACAGCATGCACAACGGACAGTAACACCATCAATCCTTCTTCATTCATGACCTAAGGCTGATCTCAAACCAAGCCTTCAGGACAGAAGACTGGAAAGACCAACTCACTGCCACACTTGGAACTGGTCTGAGAAGGCAAACATCCTCCCAGCATGTGTAACTCGAAAAGAAAGAATTAAATCAGCAAGATAAAATTAAGCAACGGTATCATTTACCGCTCAGAATTTACTAATATGCAACCTACGAAGAGCACCAAGGGCTATAAACATTTCAAGACACTTCACTGCGGTTTATCACTGTATTAGAGTACTTGCCTTTTAACACTTAAGAAAATAAAAAACTTCTGAGCAGTAGTTTCCTGTAAAGACATAAATCAGCATGTTCTGACCAGCCACAGCAAGTGCGGTACAACGATCTTCATGTCAGACGTATACAGACCAAAGCCTACAGGCACTTTTACCTACATTCAATGCATTTGCAGAATGATACAAAACTGGAAGGACTAACTGATGCTCTTGACATCAAGGTGCAGGTCTGAGATGCAGCACGTGTGGCTTCAGCTCCTTTCTCTGCCTCTGCCTGCCTGCACAGCCATAGTCATATCACTTTACCTCACCATATCTCAGCTCTGTAGCTACGAACACACAGTAAAAATGCTTCTTCGGTTGCCAAGATTAATTCACATCGCGCTTAAGAGCAGGCAAACCAGTTCCATCCACGGAGGGAGGTAATTTGACATTTCAGAAGAGACAAACCACACTAAAAAGCTTACATTACAAGGGCTCCACCCTGGCAGACTCCGAGTACCCTCTTTTCCACTAAAACTGTCTCCTGCAGTCAGCTGTTCCCTCAGCCATTCCGAGGCACATCACCCTCACCACCCAATGCCACATCAATGCAATCGGCGCAATGACTAGTGGCAGTTCCATCCTAGGTGCAGGATGAGGTCCAAGCACTAACGCAGACTATGCCAGGTATCTGAATCCATCCCTGGAGCTCTTAAACTTGGAGGATAGCTCCTTCAACAGGCTAAACGAATGTTCCCGCTGAGCTCTCAGAGGCCCGAGGATCGTGTGCCTAACGAGGCTGTATCCCCACTCATACTTTAGCTTGGCAGGTCTGGTGCTCCCTTCATCTTTTGCTTCAGGTAGCTCTCTTTTAATTAATAACATTTCTGTGTCGACACAGGGAACTTTCCACCCAGAATGAATGGCCCTCTCTCATTAGAACCACGACTTGTCATGATGTATTCAAGAGCAGTAGTGTGATTCATTCCCTTGTCTGAGAATGAGGGGTGTTGCTGGGGGGTGGGGGGGAGAAGACTCTCTGTAATGAGTGACTGATATTTGCTGAAGTTGATATGTGACTCTGTCGGCTTGAACTGCCTTGTCAGGACAAGCCTTCAGAAAGGTGATGTTCCTGCTCAAGAGGTTTTCCTCATTAAAGAAATTGCATCTTAACAAGAGGGAAGAGGAGGGGTGGCAGGAGAGCTGCTGTCTCCCCGACTCCAGCCTGGTTCACACACACCTAGCGCTGAAAGCTGGTTGATCCAAGTGCAGCCAGTAGAAGATCAACGCTCCATTTCCAAGCTCTCTCCAGCAGCGACCAAATCCCTCCAACAGGGACTCTCCTTCTGATGGTGCACCACACCCATGACAGAGCCTTTGGTGGCACAGCTGAGGACCTCAACTCGTGCTGAACCTCCAACTTTCCCAGATGCCTGGTGTCCTCTCTTCTGGGCACCCAGCTCCTTATGACTGGTACTCCCTGTCATCAGAGGGAAGCCAAACAGCTCTGTGATCTTCCAAGAAAGCTCCAATGTTCAAGAGAAATCAAGTCTGTAGCCACACAGTGCCTCATTCCCTGAAGTTCCCCAAGCCAAGCAGAGGGTTCACAGGTCCTTTAGCAGCTGAGTCTCCATCTTGAATCCTGCAGACTTAGATACTGCTAGGCACCATCAGCAGAGAGCAGTACCTTGACAATCACTATTCCTCTGGTGCTCTTCTTTGAGCTAGAAGTGCTACACATATAGCAGCTCCTAGCTTTGACAGGGTTATTTCCCCACCTTGTCCCCACATCCACCATTGACAGGCTCATAGATTCTTCCACTTTGTTCCAGCCACTCCCCTGCACCCAGTTTGCTCACCCCACTGCACCTCCCAGTGCCCTGGCACCTACCAGTGGCACCTCCTGGAAGCAATCAGAGTAGACAGGCCTGTCCAGAAGATGCCATGTCTCAGCTCCTCAACAGCACATTCAGAGAGAAGCCAAACTAAATGCCCAGGTCATTGCTAGCGAAGCCTGGAACAAGGCTGTGTGGTTTCCCACCAACAGCCGAGCTAAGGACAACAGAGGACAGGAACTCCAAACCACATGACACACCGGGTAAGAGGGCTGCAGCTTGCTTTGCAGGCAGCTGTGCAAGCAGCTGTCATTATTAAGGAAGAGAAGAAAAGGAGCAGCACAGTTAGGAATGGAACTGCCCCAAGTCAGGAAGTACTGCACTCACCTCTTGTCCTGCATTCCTCTGGAACCCAGTGCAGTTTCTGCCACGCAATGCTTCCACCAACACACTCCTCCGAATGTGGACAAGCAGCACTGCCTCCCCTTCCACTGCCCCAGTGCCTTCCATGCCCAGTGTGTGGTCTCAACACGGTAGCAAAGGGCACCAGCTACACTGCAAGTCTTTTCCAGGGAATCACTCCATGCTTCCCTGGAATACCTCCTACCCACATCTCTGAGCTCTACCTCCCTGTCTGAGTGGCCCTGTTTCAGCTCTCCACCTCCCCTCTTTAAAAAGAGATGCTCAGTTCTGCTTTGCTAAACCCTATTTGGCAACATGTCTAAACACACGCAAACTTAATTAGTTCAGGAGGGAGACTCGGCATTTGTAGCGACGGGTAAAAGTAATGGGAAACGAGACAAGTCAGAGCTGGCAGGGAGTCCTCACTCAAGCCTCATTCACTGGCACAGTGCTAATCAGATGTGACGCTACACGCTGCGGCACCCAATCATCAACAGAGCGGCGTGATGTGCTACTCACCGAGCGGCTGCAGCCAGACTCCCGCTATCCATGTGGGTGGAAACACGAAATGTATTTTCTGCTTTGCCCTGGAGATGCTTCAGGATTGAATTCTGAAGTTAATGGTTTAAAAAAATTTTTTAAAAGAAGAGGGAGAAATGAACCACTCGCTGCAACCTTATGGCCAGGAGTGGAGTCTTCTCTTCCAGCTGACTAGTGAGGCACAATCCATGCGAGAGACCACGGCAAATGGTGAATTGAGTAGCTCTGCACCAGAACTGCATGTCTTGCTGAGCCAGCTCACCCCACAACCCCTACTGTTCACCAGAAATGGGGCTCATCTTTATTTCCCCACTGCAGAGCTCTGAAGCAAAGAAAAAAAACATCCAGAAGGTTGCCCACTCCATAAAGACACCAAGTTAGGATGTTGTTATCTGGGAACCTTGTTATCCCACTGTGAAAGTGATGGAAAGACGGGCTTTGAGCAAAGATAACTCTGTTCCTCACAACCATCACCAAAAGTGGTAATCTGGACTCTCAGAACAGCAATTCGGGAGTAAAGAACTGAGAAAAGAGAACAGATGAGAAACAGAAGTTTAGCACATCCCTGCAGCTGTCTTTGTGCTGGTCTCTAATAAAAGTTTAAACATGATATATAAAGAAAAATAAGCCTCACTCTTAATTTAAACCAGTAACACAGGAACTGGCAATATATACCAGCTCTGGACACAGCCCCAGCAGAGACACAGATTTTGACTCAAAAGCTCGCATACCACACTCCTGTCTGGAGCACGGCAAATTTCTTATCTCCACTAGCGCTTGTGCTGCTGCTTCAGTCCTCATATCTCATGTCTCACTAATCACACCAAGAAGAGGCAAGGAGCTGCCACTCTACAAAGACCACTCTGTAGGGAAGAACTGGTGCTGATTGCTCCCAGGCTGTGTTCAGTTTATTTAGGCTTCTGACTTGGGGAAACCAGTGTCACACTGAAACCCAAGTAACACTACTAACGAGTTGTGGATGTCAGTTTAGCATTGGATGTGTCAAACCCATGCTTTACCAGTGTGATAACAACACAAGTCTTTATCCAGCACTCTGAGGAAATGAAAAGCTGAAGTGAGATTACAGGAATCCAAGTGAATTCAGCACAATATGACACTGATCTGCAAACACTTTACAGACTAGGCCAATATAATTCTCAGGCATTTAACTCCACTTTTTTAAATAACATTTTTAGGTTGGTGGTCTACATATTTTTGTAACAAAACACGGACATACACCAACACTTGCAGATCTCAGTGCAGGTCCCCACCTGGTACTCTCCAGATACAGTTGCCCAGCTGATGAAGATGACCTTAATGATAAGAACACAAATGAAGCATACCAGACTTGGCTTGTACTCTCTTTCCAAAGACTACTCTGTGATTCACAACCAGGTAGTGTGCCAAGATGACAGAGAGAAGCCTTGCATGCAGAAGTCAAGTACGGACCACTGCTTGATTTGGATGTACAGAAACAGAGCTCCATGTATGTGCTCAGAAATATCCATCCCTTTGGAAAGTATATCAGATAAAAGGCAAACCATCACAAAGATCCAGTTTAAACCTTTCTTGGGGTTCTGAAAGGATTCATTCGCTACAGGGAATATCCTTGGCAGTGATCTTACACTATGGCCAGCACCCACCTGTCTTCTTAACCCTCCACTCCCAATTACTCATGGCAAACAACAATTTTCCTAAGAAACAAAGACCAGGGACAGTTGGAGGCTTGTAAGGACAAAGAGGTATGCACTACAGGCAAGCATGGAGCAATAAAACCCAGAAAAATCTCCCTCCCCTTCCATACTCACATCACTTTCAAATCCCAGTCTCCGCAGGTCACAAAAATCGACTTGACGCTGGGATCTAAGAGGCCTTCCTTCGCCATCCACTCGTCAACCCTCTGAAAGCAAGGCAAGAAAAGGGGATGAGTTTTGCAGAGACAGGCCGAGCCACAACAGTTAAACTCAGATAAGCTGTTTGCAATCAAGAGAGAAGAAAATTGTGATCTTATCCACCCCCTCCCTCTCTCTCTTCTCTCTTTGCTTGCCATCTCAACAACAGCATGTTTGGACCTTTGAAGATTTCTGATAGGAAACATCAGGCAACCAGAGCAGAGGTGATCTTATCAGACACCATAGCAGCTCTGCTCATGGAAGGATGGAAGTTGTGCTGTGTTAACCGGATGATACGACTGCGCTCTTACTTGGCATCCCTCCTCCACTTTTCCTCTCCCTATATCAAATGGGCTCATCATAGTGAGCGTAACTTGTGCCTCCTCCAGTGAGGAAAAAACATGGGCATTCTGGGACGGCATCCCTCATCTATAGCATTTTTCACATGCTCCAATTCATACAACTCCAAGGGGATATAGGAAAGGGGGAGAAATGGAAAGGCTGGGCACGTGCAGGCACTGTGCGGCAGTGACAAGCAAAGCCACATGTTCCCTTCCCCTCCAGGCTGGGTCTCTCTTAATTCTGAGGAGGTGCTTGTTGAGCATGGATTTAAAGTGAACCCACTATTCCTGATGAACTTCCTATAGGGACTGATGTTCTGGATCCACTTCACAAACAGGCCACGTTAATCCGGAGGATGCACATCCACCTCAGGGATTAACTAGTAGGAACTAACCTAGACTAAAACCCCTGCACAGACACTTATTTCAGCTAGAACTAGCAAATGACATGCCCAAAATCTTCCAGTGGCAGGTGACAGGCAATCAGCTGCTACTATGCAGCCTCACTAGCAGCATCTCCAATGCTTCAGCAAAAGAAATCCCTCCTCTTTTCCCCTGTTCCGATACCTTCCACTCCTGAATAAACCAGCATGCCCCAGAAGCTGCCTGACCCAAATCTCATTTTAACCTAGAAACATGCTGCTGTGTAACACCTTTTCAGTCCAAAAGAAAAAAAAAAATCTACAGAAATGTTTCCACGCTCTAAGAAGCTCCCATAGAAACAGAATGAACCATTTTCTGTAATACTCTATCAGCAACGTACGTTCAGGCAAAGAGGGCTCTCCCTCCTGGGGAAGCAGGCACAGGCATCTGTATGCTTATGGACACGCATCACTGCCACGTGCTCTCTGGAGAGCACCAGGGAGAGCTGGGGGTTTGAATGGATGCAAGATGTCATCTTCACAGAGCACAGTCTTCAGTCTCGTGTCACTGCCACAGCCTTTCCACCAGAGGATGGCGTTTCTTTCTGCAACCGATTGTACAACAGCCCTCTGGAGTACAGCTCCCCCAAAGCAGCATCCAGCCTCTCAGCCACACTTCTGCCTCCCTTGGGCTGCTGGGATCTTCCAGCCAGCCCCACATGAGGCTCCCTGGAGCGAGGGACAGCAGTGGTAACCTTTCTAAACTCCCTGATGTGAATGCCCATGAAGTGCTGTCTCCACAGAGGATTTTAAAGGCTTTAATTTGATTTCCTCAGATAAGCAATTGTTGCATTTATTCTGATTAGGAACAATTAGGTAACACAGCAGTGGAAATCCTGACAGAGACAATGCATCGAACACCAACCTGCAGCCCAAGCGGCCTCTGCTTGAGGAGGTTTCCTTCACTATTTGACTACCAACAAAAGCTACTGATGGAGAAATACTTCCATGCTAATTAAGCCCTAAATGCTGTAGGAATTCAACATTAAGCAGATGGCATTATTAGAGTTACATCTGCATTTGCACATCCTCCAGATTAGATTTTAGAGGCATTTTCTTTCTATACTACATGTATTATTGAGCATTTAAATAGGTAGAAAAAATTAATTTAATAAGGTGCTGAGGGAGGGAAAAGAAAATGAAGGGAGAAGCTCCCAGAGCAGTGGTCTTCAGCAATGTCTTGGTGCTTTAAAACTGGCTCAAGCAAGAATTGCCTCTTCTCCTATCTACTGGCAGGAGTTTGGATATCTTGTCAGCACCCTTGACATGAACAGCTGGAGATGACAGATCAATGGTTCAATACTCTCAGTAGCGCGTCACCAACATGACAGCAAATGTTATTCTAATGAAGCTGTAATCATAGTCAAATTACACGGTTCGATTCTCAGCAAGGGGAGGATGCAGAGAAGGAGATTAAGAGGGGACGACAGGACCAGAGGTCAGAGTTCAGGAACTACAGGTTACTCTGCTTACCTCAAGCACTTGCTGGAGGCTTGGCTGCCCATCCACCATGCCTTGAATAATCCCAGTCAGCTGAAACAAGAGACAAACAGAAAGGAGGCATCAGAGCAGCACTCAAAAGATCATTAGAGAGGTCTTCTCTCCTGTCCATCTCACTGCAACCAAAACATGCTCCTGTGACCCACAGGGACATTGCTGAGGAGCCAGGCACAGCACAGCGACCCTGGCAGCTCCCCAGCCATGGGCAAGGGTACAGTTCCATCCCAAACACAGAAATATAGGGGGGCTCCTACTCACACCATAAAACAGCAAACTCTCAGGAGGGCAGGATCCACTTGGGGAGCAGTGGTGCCCTCTGCTTCATGCACCAGCACGATGCCCCAAATGCCGCCCTTTTTCAACATGCATTTCACCAGTTTTGATGGTGCCTTGACTTACATAGGCAGAGATAACTACTGGGGTCTCTGGTCATTTCCTTGCTGTTGTGGTGATACCAAAATTGCACAGTCTTAGATGAACAGAACAGACCACTATTGGTAAGTGAGACCCTGAGTGGACCCAGTCATCCTCCCCCGTGCTGAGCAGCCACCACATGCGCTTTCCCACAGTCCGTCACAGCATCCCTCTGCAGTTCAAAATTGTATTTAAAACAACCGAATGAAATCTGAAGAAAACCACTTTCATCCAGAACCCTGGCTCTACTCTGTTTTTCAGGAGGCTCCTTAGGAACAGGTCCTGCCAACGGATAGTCCCTACTACTCACTGTACCCAACCCAGACTGCGTGGCTGTTTAAAGCTAGAAACACACATATAAAAAGATGCAGTCTTTGCCTGTGTCTCCCCAGGATAACTTGAGGCACATGGAAAATAGATAAATTTTCTGTCTGCCTTCCAACTGACAAAACTGTCGTTTAACATATTGAATATCGGAGGTCAGTAGCTTGCCATCAATGTACCCAAGTAATTAAAAAAATCATTATTAAAACAAGTGCACACTACAGGATTTCACTTCATAGGGCACTTTCCTGAAGCTACACATCTCACACGTTTTCATAAAACAAAGGTCAAACATAGCCTAGGAGCACGCCTTGCTGCCTGCACACAGACCCAAGCCTCCAGAACCACAGTTAAGAGGTGCTGACAGCCTACCCCCAACTCAGGAGATGTTGCCACACAGATCATCTCAATCTACTCGTAAAACATAAGCCCTCTCACAAATGACAGCGCTCCGCTTTATTAAATGTGTGCACAACTGAAAGAAGCTTAATGGTTTCTACCTCTGTTTCTTTGGTTGCTTGGCTTACAGCACTCACAAACTCAGAGGAAGAAGAAAAAAAAAAAGAAAAGAGATGAAACTCCAATTAAACTGTAATTACATCTAATGAATACCAAATACCTGACTCACTGAATAAGCTGTAAGTGGAAAGATTATTTTCTCATAGTGACTTCCATGGAATGGTAATATACACCTTTTAGGGAAAGTATTTTAATTTTAAGAATACAGAGTTCCTCTAGGTAGGTTTCTCAAGTTCATCAAGCCATTATGAGGCAGAATTTTAAGGAAGTGGAGGGACACAGACACTCTTTTGCATTCCAGAAACTTGTTTTTATATTAATCTGTATTTTAATTGGGCAACAGCTGCTACTTACGGACATCCCATACTCCGAGAGGCAAACAGATTTGAGAAATTAACACACAGCTTTTTAGGGCAGTTTTTAAGCTCACTGGTTTCTTTTTTACTTTTCTTGCTGTCTTTCTCTCCATGCATTGGCCTGGCAGAGGTGGACAGCTCACCTACTGCAAAGTGCTGGCTCTGCCTCTTGGAGGACAGCTCAAATCAAACTTCTGGAAACAGCTGAAAGACGAGCTTTTGGGAAAGGACTGTAGAATAGTTTGGGTTGGAAGGGATCTTTTAAGGTCATCTAGTCCAACCTCCTTGCAGTAAGCAGGGACATCTTTAGCTAGATCGGGTTTCCAACCTCTCTGGGCAACCTGTTCCAGCACTTCACTACCCTCATTGTAAAAAATTTCTTCCTTATATTTAGCCTGAATCTGCCCTCTTTTAGATTAAAATCATTACCCCTTGTCCTGTTGCAATAGACCCTGCTAAAAAGTCTGTCCCCATCTTTCTTATAAGCCCCCTTTAAGTATTGAAAGGCCACAATAAGGTCTCCCTGGAGCCTTCTCTTCTCCAGGCTGAACAACACCAGCTTTCTCGCCTTTCCTCACAGGAGAGGTGTTCCATCCCTCGCATTCTTCTGGCCCTCCTCTAGACCTGCTCCCACAAGTCCATGTCTTTCCTAAGGATGACAAGCAACCTTTCGGTATCATGGCCAGCACTGACGTAAATGACTTCTACCACTCCAGACACCTTCAGGACTGCATCTGTTCAGCACCGCACCCCTGATGGCCATGGGAGGACAGGGCGAAATGGCCACATCCAGACATTTCCCATCAGGAGGAGGGAAGGACAGGAAGGAGGATGCAGAGGTCCCGCTGAAGAGTCACTGCCTGATCTTGCCCAAGACTCCTTCCCTCCTTCCCTGACAGGCCAAGCAAAGTACCAACTACAAGAACACATCGCCAAGCACACATGCACACAAGATTCATGCCGCAGAAACTGCACACACGAATACAAAAGGGCATACCCACTGCATGGGTACATTTCAATACAGGTCAGAGGATGCTCAAAAAGGGACCAGATTTCTACTCTCTCACCCTTTCAGATCCTTTCTGTTCTCAGTTACGTCCATCTGTAACACTTCACCTAGTGCATTGGGTCTCTCCAGCATTATCTGATCTTGCAGCTTTGATGAAGTATAAAAACATAAAACTGCACAATTGTAAAGTTTCACTGGCAATCCCAAGAAGCACATGGTACTTGGGAACATAAACAAGCTATAAGGCATTTATCTTTTTGTACTTTTATTGTCTGTTCCTTCAAAAAAAAAATCAATAAAAATTAATCATAAAAAGAGAGCTGAGTACCATGAAAAAGCCTGTACAAGCACCTTCTGCGTAGAGGGAACCTTCCACTTAAGCTCTTGGCATCAGACAAACCACTTGCATCTTCCAAAAAGGTATGATGAGCTTTATATACCTAACAGCAGCTTTTAACCACTTGTAAGCACTTTTTACCTTCTCTGTCTAAAAATTCAGCACACCCCTCATCATAACCAAGCCTCATGACCTGTTGTTTCACAGGAGCAGGTCAAGAGAAAGGGGACCAGATGAGGGCTTCAGAGTAAGCCAGCCCTGGAAGATGTGCTCCTGGCCATTGGTGTGGGGAGTTGGAGGAACCTCCTGTAGCCAAGGGAGAGAGCACAGACACACCAAAAGCTAAGTTAAGGGTGAGCTAAGCCTTGAGGGTGACCATGAGCTGTCCACCCTTGCAGACACCCTTCCCGTGCTGTGCTGTCTCCTTCAAGAAGGAAAAGGGATGTGACAGGTACTTCAGACCCATGGAGTAACGTTGAGCAACCCTGGTAATCCTCCCTCACACAGTCTATATCAAGCAGTCCTATTGCTTACTGGCAAAGCTAGCAAGCGGAGGGGAGTGGGGAAAGCAGCAGCACAGCAGAGAGGCTCCCATGTAATGTCCACACCACTGCTTTTCCTACAGAGCTTATTTGGGAAACCATCGTATTTCTACTCCAAGACAGTTTGCTGATTACCTAAGCACTTGCCTCTGGTGTACAATCTGATAATCAGGCCTGGTCATTCTTTGTAGACAAAGAGGCCAATAAATCTCACCCTTTGTAAGTAGAGGTACCTTAACAAAGCCCTTTACTGGCATTTAGCAAAATAGGTATTTTTCAGAAAACATAAACCAGCTGAAAGTTGATGGCAAGCACTGGAGCTGTGCGGGTAGCAGCTCCGCAGAGGCTGGACGCACAACATGTCCCAGCTGTGTTCCCAGGGTCTCGGGAACCTACACTAGCAGCACAGGGCTGACCCCTGTGCCTGCCTAGCAGAAGCCAGCAATCTTACAGGTCTCTACATGGCCAGTACAGCCTCCAAAAAAAAGCATCTGCAAACATGAAAGAATACTTTTGCAACTTTAGTAAGGTCCTCAGTACGACCAGCTCACCTGTGGCTCTTAGGGCAGGGTTTCAAAGTCAGCCCCAGATACAGGACCCAGGGACAAGCCCAGTTATCCCTCCAGCACAATCCCACTCCCTGAGCCTCATGGCAGCCCCTGCAGGGTGACCACCAAGCCAGGAGGAACAAGGGCCATGAGGATCACCAGGCAGCACTAGAGCAGTGCGGGATTGCCCAGGAGCCAGTGGCTTCCAGGCTAGGATTAAAACCAGCTCCCTAACCTACACTGTTAACAACAGAGAACTTGCCAAACCTGGCAAGTTGGACCATTTTGTGCCACTGACACACACAGGTCGGGGTTCTGCAATCATTTTGCTTGCTGGCCTCAGCACTGCACATTTTTATCCAACTCTGGACACAAGACCCCAGACCAAGGTCAGCGGCAGAGCCTGCAGTACAATGCTGCAGCTGCAACACCCATCCCCATCCCGGGGACTCCTGCAAAAGCACGGCTGGTGCACACACACACAGAGCTTCGCTTGCTCAAGGGCTCCATTCAGGAGACACAAACAGCTACTCCAGCCTTCCGTGAGCAAGAGAAGACAGAGAAACTGGCACTGCAGTGCAGGAGCATTAGATGGGCTGAAGGCCTCTGTCACAAGCTCAGCATCCAGAGAACCTCTCAATGTTCTCAGGCTGCAGCAGGCTGGAGACTCTGTTCTGCTCAGACAGCCACACCAAGCAAGTCATGCAACTCTTGTGCAAGAACAGAGCTGCAACCTTTACCAGGAGCAGGAAGAAGACAACAGGAATTTCCAGAAAAAGGAATTTTGGTGGGACTTAATGAGTAAGATGTCTTTTCTCTAGAATTTAGATGACATACAAAACAGACATTCTGGGCTCTACTCTAGTAACGATGTTGCTTTTAGCAAAGATCAGGTGCAAGCTGTGAGATTTATCACATTTGTACAAGCCTATGTCCAGCAAGTCTCATTAGGATAAGGACAGCCAAAGTAGTTGTCCAGCCTTCTAGCATTAAGGTTGCAAAAACGTTTCCCTTATACCCCTCTGTTTTCACACATTTATAGCTTTCTGAAAGCCCATCTCCCGGGAATAATGTTTTCTGTGCTCAGTCTTTTTTTTTTTTTTTTAAAGTCTAAATAAAATACCTTCAGATGGTTTTTAGTTACAAGAGAATAAAAAAAGTATTTATTTTTACAACATGGAAATATGGAAGGGGCTGGTTGGACCTGGAGGGGACTCCACCTAACACAGAGGAGTCATTTTTCATCAAGTTAGTACACACAGGACAAGCACTTCAAGGGCTTAAACCTGCAGCTGCAGAGATCGGGTAAAACACACCATGGTGTTGATGATCCCAGATGAGACGGGGACAGAAATAAGAACTTGGATACTCCCACAGACAGTAATTTAGTCACTGAGCTGGCCAACATCAAACCCCACACAATATCCTTGTCTCTAAATTGCAGAGACATGGATTTGACAGATGGACCACTCAGTGGATAAAGAATTGGCTGGATGGTCGCACTCAAAGAGCCACAGTCAATGGCTCGATGTCCAAGTGGACACCAGTGACGAATGGCATGTCTCAAGGGTCAGTATTGGGACCAGTGCTGTTTAACATCTTTGCTGGTGACATGGACAGTGGGATTGAGTGCACCCTCAGCAAGTTTGGCGATGGCACGAAGCATTGTGGTGCAGTTGACACACTAGAGGGAAGGGAGGCCATCCAGAGACCTTGACAGACTTGAGAGGTGGGCCCATGAAGTTCAACAAGGCCAAGTGCAAGATTCTACATCTAAGTTGGGGCAATCCCAAATACAGGTTGGGTGATGAGTGGATTGACAGCAGCCCTGTGGAGAAGGACTTAGGGGTACTGGTGGATGAAAAACTGAATGAGCCATCCTGGGCTGCATCAAAAGAAGTGTGGCCAGCAGGTCAAGGGAGGTGATTCTCCCCCTCTGCTCTGGTGAGACCCCACCCGCAGTACTGTGTTCAGCTCTGGGGCCCCCAGCATAAGAGACACATGGACCTGCTCGAGTGCATCCAGAGGACGGCTGGAGTACCTCCCTATGAGGAAAGGCTGAGGGTTGTTCAGCCTGGAGAAGAGAAGGCTCCACGGAGACCTTATATTTGCCTTCCAGTACTTAAAGGGGGCCTACAGGAAAGATGGGGAGGGACTCTTATCAGGGAGTGTAGTGATAGGATGATGGGTAACGGTTTCAAACTGAAAGAGGGTAGATTTAGATTGGATATTTGGAAGAAATTCTCCGCTGTGTGGGTGGTGAGACACTGGAATAGGTTGCCCAGAGAAGTTGTGGATGCCCCCTCCCTGGAAGTGTTCAAGGCCAGGCCGGATGGGCCTTTGAGCAACCTGGTTTAGCAGAAGGTGTCCCTGCCCATGGCAGGGGGGTTGGAAATAGATGATCTTTAAGGTCTCTTCCAATTCAAACCATTCTATGGTTCTATAAACCAGTGGAGCAACAGAAAAAAAATCCAAAGCAAAAGCAATTTAAAACTTTTTTTTGATCGTTACAGCAGGGAAGAATGCACTTGCAGAAACAGTTAACTTGGTGTTGAATGAAAAAAAAAAACCAACCCTAAAAACCAAAACACAACAACAAAAATCCCCAACCCCTGACCCCCTATTCCTTTGAACCCTCAGGGATCGCATTTACCACCTTCATCCTCTTGTCTGTACGTGAGGAAAGGTGGCCACGGCTCAAGAGTAGCTGCCTGTGGCAATGAGAATAACCAAGTAACAAGAGGCCACTTCTCCAGCAATCATTTAAAGTGCCCCACAAGCACAACATCAAAAAGAGAGTCTTAAAAATACAGACATGGGTTATCCTACCACTCTGAATGACTCATCAAATCCCAACAGGCAGGACCATGGGATAGTAATTTGGAGCCTCTGAAACATGCAGGTGTACAACACTTTCTTCCCACAGACCATGCTCTCTTAGACATTCCCCACCAAAGAGCAGCAGGACAAAACCACAAAGAGCTCACAGAGAGGATACAGGATTTTGAGCATCAGCTACCATGAGTGCTTTTATTTTGTGCTCACCCAGTTAGATGTTCTTTAATTGTAAATACAATTATCTTAGTTAGCAGATCACAGACAGAGTTATTTATGAATCCAAACTGAGGTCTTTACACACTACTGCAATGACAAAAAATGATTCTGCTTGTCCTTAACTTGAGGCTGACATGACACGTGGCCTTGCAGCTGCACCATGAAGAGGCAACCCCAATCCCTAGTGCAATGGAAACCTGCTTCCCAGGGAGACTCTTGGAGCACCAGGGAACCTTTGCACTTTACCTCTGTACAGAAGGGCGTAAGCTGGGGATGCACCACAGGCTGAACATACATGTGAAAGGTGGATTCGATCTCCATCGTCCTGCCATTCAGCTTCAGGATAGGGAACTCGATGATTTCCTGAATAGGGCAAAAAGAAAACCAGCTGTTCATTTAAAACAAACAAAAAATGAAGTTGGAAACTATCGTGCCTAGCAAGCTGGCTGTAAAAACAGGGGCCTGACAGTCCCAAACAAAACTAAGCCCAACACAAAGCTCTGCCATCCAAGTGGGAAAGTGGTGCTAGAGCACAGAGCACATCCAATGCCGTGAGCACAGAGGGGGATGGTGCTGATGTTCATTGCAGCTGGGACAGGCAGCAAGGAGGTCTCTGTGCTCAGCGCTGCAACTGCACGCATCATTGCCTAAGCTGAACCTAAGGAAGATGGTCTAGCACCACTTGCACGCACCGCCCAGGGAATGTGGAGATGTACTTGCAATGGGCTCACATCTGTTTAGCAAGGACATCCCACAGGCTGTGCTCTCCCCAAGACCAGTCCCATCCTCTCCACCTTGCCGTCCTTTTGGAGGACATCACCAGACAGACAACAGTAGCTATTGCACGAAGCACCTCCTTCCCAGGAGAGGCTGAGGAGCACTGCTCTCCTCCAATAGAGTGAGGAGAGGAGCTGGAAGTGCTCCTCCAAATCCTTCCCTACGGGATACAGCACAGTAGCAAGCCCTGCTTCATTTTCCTCTTTGCAGCCAATTTATGCTGATAGGGAAATAAAAACATTCCTTCATCAGAAGAATGTTCAATTATTTGAATAACCAGCAATCAAAAATTTACATGGACCTGTTAATAAAAAGTTTAAACAAATCCAGTTGCGATGGATTTCTCAATTATTAAAAAATATACATTGAATTAAAAACGCCAACCACTGAATAAAAGCGATAAAATCCTTTGTGTTCACCCCCCTGCTTCTCCACTCCTTTTCCTCCCTCCAGTTTAATGTAAGAGGAGAAGTGACAATTTGTTTCGTGTCTTTAAAGAATAATTTGTCTATGTTATTTAATAGAGATACATGGCACCAAGGTTCTGGAGTGCAAATGAGCCCATTGAGTGATATCCATGCAACAAGCCTCTCAAATCACTTCTGGAGAGAAACAGAGAGAGGGAGAGAGAATAAAAAAAATATTGCTTTTTAATATTCAAAAACAGTTTGCAAAATTTAATCAAAGCTGAGCAAAAGCTAACATTTTTACCACTTTGACATTTTTATTAGTGCTTTCATAAATTTTTAAAACATGAATGGAATTAGTTTAACAACAAAAAAACCTGCCTGAAAACATCTGGAAGAGACAAATAAGAAATAATAAAAAACTCCCCACCAAAAATATCCAACTCCTGTAAGTAAAATTAGCATGTGGAAAATGCAGCCGCTGCGGAGGAACTAACACAGTTTTTGGACCCTGGCTGCAACCCTCATGACCCACAGGCAGAAATTATCATGAGGTCATGCATATGAGCTGATGACATCACCACCCCAGCAAGCAGAGAGAAGGAAAGAAGCTGGGTGGGTAAATGGAAACAACAAATAATTTAAATAGCCAGGAGAAACACACAATTTCCATGGTGGACAGAGCCCGTGGCTGCGGCAGAGCAGCTCCCTGTAGCAGCAGGCACGCAGCCTGGACCAGGGCACATGGGGAGCACACGCTGCTGAAACAGAATTAGAAAAAAAATTTTAAATAAAATAAAGAATTAACAGTGCTGAAGTGCCCAGGTGTAGACACTGAGCAGCCAAGCTGCAGAGGACGCAGGACTTAAACCATTTCCCCATGGTTGGCTGTGCCACACTCTGCATGTGCCACACAGACTAAGGCAGAGAGGAGTGTTGGGTGCATCCTTTCCCCACGGCCGTACCACCCCACTGAGAGTCACCAAGTTACCCCAGGAAAGAGAAGAAATTTGACCCATGGGCTGGAAGGGGAGGAGGACAAAGGGGCAAAACACCTGAGCATCACCCGGATTGCCTGTTGTGGTGCAGCCAAACTCACCAGCTTCAGCCACCCAGGAGGACCCATGGAAACATGGGAAACTCAATCTGAAACATGGGACATAGCCAATCCTCCCTTCAAAAGAGCCCACATAGGCTCTGAAAGCAAATTTCTGTTCGGAAGGAAAATAGACTGCAAAGTTTGAAGCCAATGGACAGAGGTCATCACAGAGCCAAGCTTAACCCCAGGATAACACACCACCCCATCCTTCAAACTGGGCTGGGGTGGCTCGTTGCCCCTTAGGTCTGCATCCCACCCAGGGGGTGACCATGGAATTGGGCGACCACGGAACTGGGCAAGCCCACAGCAGGGCAAGACAAGTAGTCCTGTCCCCCCGCAGAGACGGACATGTACTGGTCAGATTTCACAGCAAGGTTTCATTGCAACGCTGAGATCAGTCCTAAGGGACCAGAAATATCCTCAGGGGCCATCAACTGACTGGATGCAAAGCAAGACTGAAAGACAGTCCTGCTGCTGACCTGATACACAAAGGCGTCACTCATCTTCCAGAACTAAAGACAAAAATCACTTCCAGGAGGGTCGGATTAAGACAAATGGAGGAAAGAAAAAGCCATACTAAAAAAAACGCGGAAAATTTAACAATATCCAGAATTATTGCAGGTCAGGGGGAAGCATGCAGCCAAGAGTGGGGGTGGAACCCCAGGAGTGACTCGAGCATCTCTGGAGAAAGCACAGGCGCTCTTTTGGGCTTATCTGTTCAGTTTTTGAAGCAAGTGGCAAAGGACCTTTCCCAAAAGGCTGTTTATCTGCACATTTCCTATAGCAGAGATTTTTCCAGTCTCTGGCAGTGTTTGCTCCACTGGTATCTAAGGCAACAGATACCAGCCCCATGAAATAAGCCCCACTCCTCACTAACGACGTTAACCAGTCCTGCAATGAAATTTAACCTGTGACACTGCTGTACTTTTCATTTAAACTTTCATTTGGAGAGAAGCAGTGTTTGGAGACCCTGCAGTTTGTCCTGCTAATAAAGACAAGTGTTGGGACCTTTAAAGGTGCCATTCATCTTTTGCCTTTATTAAATTCAATTTTCTTAAGCCCATGATACATCATGAAATTAAGAGTTGACATTCCTGCAGAAACAAAAATATCTATCAAACATAAACAGAGGGGGGGGGATAATAAAAAAAAAGTCTCTATTACCAAGAATTTATGGCTTAAAGTTGATCTGTTTCCTTTTTTTTTTTTTACAAGCATATGGTTTGTTTTAGATATCCAAAATGTTATTACAGATCTAGAATTTCATTAGTAATTATTATGAAATGGTGAGCACTTAAGACACACACACGCATGCATGCACACACACACAACCCCCCAACAGACTGTGATGCAGGAAGGCAGCCGGGTGCGCTCTCACACTTCACAGCAACCCGGTGAGCTCAACACACTCAGCTCCATCTCCACCATCAAGGACCTTCACTGCTTCTTCCCAGGTGGGAAAGGTGGAGGAGAGCAGCACAAGGGAATTAAAAGGAGAGGTTCACCGACACCTTCTTTCTTTTATCAGAGTCTGATCATCCATAAGCATTACTTTGAGACCCTCACCCATTTCCACTCCAACACTGAGTACACGTTCCAACTTTGGCAGTGATTTGTGCCAGCAGCATTTGGGGCTTCTAAGTTTTTTGGTTCCCCACCTCCAAGCCTTTCCTTATAGCACAACCAGAAGTTATGGATGTGCTGAAATAATGCTGAGGGTGTCCAGAGGCTACAAACAGCCACAAGCTACCAGAAGAACAAATGTACCCATTTGAATTTTGCGAGCACTACAATTAGGTATTTTATTTAGCACTGCAAAGTAACTTAAAAGGAAATCCAGGATTCAAACCACCAGCAATAAAAAGCAGCTTTTTATTTTCCTTCCATTGTCATGAAAAGTTGAACATGTTTTCTGTTGAGAAATTCTGCACCGCAGCTCCCAATTACAGGCATTTGCATTTATATTGTTGGAACACAGAGCTTCTAAAATCAATATTAACACGCTTAAAGAAAGAGACATCAGCACCCTGTCCCTCCCCTCAGCTGCGCCCCCAAACATGGTAACAATAGGAACCTACAGAGCCGGAGGCTTATACATATCCATTACTAGGTCCACACTGTTTACAACAATCTTGCATTTATAATTTCACGGTACTTCAAGCAAATCTGTGTGACAGCTTGCTCAGAATTTTTTTTTTTGTTTTAAATAAATGTTTCCCAAAAAAAAGAGGTCCCAGGTGGAAGCCTCCTGTGCGACCTGGCTGTCCCAAGCCAATGTGCTGAGCAGCAGCAGGAGGCTGCAGGGTAACAACAGAATGGATAGGGACTTCCTTTTAAGACCGATTTTAAAGATTCATAAGGGCATGTGAAAGCACTGCTATAAACCCAGCCTTTCCTTACCCAACTGTCCTAAATGAAACTCCCCTCCCTTTGACACTGGAGCAGGGATGCACAAATTCAGCTGGTTTGACCTCCTTACTAATAAAAGAAATCAACAAGCACACAACTATACTCCCTAAATTCCTGTAATGGACAGATCTCTGGAATTCAGAGAAGAAAGTATGTGAAGTTACACTAATTCCTACAGAGGAATCTTTTTTCTTACCCTTTTGGATCTGGGGAGCACTAACATTATTAGACAAAAAGAATACAGTGCCCAGCAAGAACTTCCCAGTTCTCAAAACCTTTTAATCCAGAAGCTCATGTACTAAGGTGACAGGGCACAGTTCAGGACACTGAGTTATATATTTGAGGAAGAACGTGTGGCCTATTCAGTTCAAAAACTACCAGAGAATAATTTATCCCTTACTCTCACCCCCATGTGAAGAAGTTTAATAAACACAAGAATAAAAGATGCCCATAAAAATCAGAGCCGACTGTTCAAAATGCAATAAAAACAAGCAGAGGCCGTTGTGAAAAAGGGATTTTTTTCTGACAAGGAAAAGCATAAAACTTCTACCAAAAGACCCCCTTACACCCTTAAAAAAAGGTAAGTGCAGAAGAGGCAAGGGAGTCTCCGTGGAGGGACACAGCCTCAGCACCAGCTCATTTGGTTCAGGGATGCTTTTTTCCCCCCTCTT